TTGCAATAATTAGAGCTATAAAAATAAAAGTATATCTCTATCCTTACATACGCTTATTAAGCGTTCAATTAAGTAACGATTTAATCGTTCGGCTATGCCGTTTTAAGAAGGTAAATAAAGACTAGTATATTCGCAAATTATACTTTTGCTTTTGCAAAACGTAGTCTATTTATTCGAAGTGAATTCTCTTGCGTTATTTAATTTAAATACTTTTATATTAAAGCTAAGTTTTCGATCGAATTGAGTTGTAATCATATTATAAAATTCAACTAATCGATCGAATACGTCAGCTTTAAATTTTAAAGCGTATAGCCAAATGGCTCTAGAACCTCTGCACGTGAAAGTAACGAAAAATCGTTTTTTCAATAAGCTTTTAATTTTAAAAAGCTTTGCTATATTTATATCGAAAGCAGTTAAAAAGGGTGAGTCTAATATAAGCTTTTTACTATTCATTTGAGTAATTTTGCTATTTACGCAAGACTCATAATTTTCAAGATTTTATTTAATAGCTTTAGAAAAACTTTCGCTATTATCGATTGTTTTTAAAACAAAATCTTTATTTACGTGCAATAAGCGCTTATAATAAAGGCTTAATTTAGTAGTCATAAAAGAATTTACCTTGAATAATAAAGGTTTTAAGTATTTATTATTAATTTCGACCTTTATAAAATAAGCGTTATTAGCTTATTTTACGTTAATATAAGGTTTGAAAGAAGCATAAGAGATTTTAGTTCTATTTCGATCGAAATTAATAGCCTAATCTTTATTTGTAAGCTCTTTTGAACTTATTAAGGTCGTTTTTAGCTTAAAAATATAATTGACGTTTTTAATTATAATCTTTAAGCTTGTTTTCGACTTAATAAAGATATCACTTATACTTAGAATAAGCATAATATCGCTATTAGCGATAATTATAGACTTCTTAGCTATTAGCTTATAATTTATAAACCAAGCTTTATTAAGCGAATAATGCTTTAAGGCTCTTGAATCTAATACGAATTTATTATTATTCGTAATAGAATAAGCTATGCTAAAGTGATTTAATTCATTATTAGAGCTAGAATTAATAAAAGCACTCATTAGTGCTTTATTAAAGCTATTTTTAAAGTCTTTATCTTTAGCCGATATAGCTTTATTATTAAGCTTTTTATTAAAGTTCGGCTTTAGTTCGAAATGCAATTTAAAACAAGTTGAATTTAAGTGCTTTTTTTGCTTATAATGCGAGCAATATTTAGCGTTATTTTTAAACGCTTTATTTGCTTTTAAATCCGCGCTAATACTTATTCGGGCTTCTTTTGATAATAAATCAGATATAAGCGAATCGATATCTATTTCTTTAAGGTTATTAAATATTTCTGTCGGTATATCTATATCGACCTTAGCTAGTAGTAGTAGTAGTAGTAGTAGTTGGGGAAGCTCACCCGTGAACCATGGTTCACGGGCCACTTGGCATACCTCGCTTAGCATGTCAGCAGTTAAAGGACCCCCAACTTGACAAGTAAACTTATTAGCTAGCTAGTGCACGTGATTCCTTTTAATCGTATAAAAGAAGTCAGCTCTTTTAAGCCTTAAAGGGCAGATAGAATTCAGATACTTTATTAACCGAGTGTTTTGCAATTGCAAGTACTTTGACGACCTTACGAAGTTACGAATATATTCTTAATCGCTTAAAAGCAATCTAACATTGATTAGTAGTTGATTTACTACTAAGTGATCAATCATAAAGAAGCTAAGACTTTATAGCGAAGATACTTTTTAATACGATACTTCTTTCTTTTTACAACGGAAGAGCGATTCCGTACTAAGTCGCTTCTTATACTATCGATTTTCTTTATTCTTACGAAAGAGTGATTCCGAACTAAGTCACTTTTAAAATAACAACGCTATAAAAGCCGCGCTTATTATATATAGCAACTTAATTAAATTTAGATCGACTTATACTTAAACAAATAATAATTATAGCCGACCGAGCAACTAGACTTTTAAATAAAGAGTCTAGCCGACAAAGAGCAGAGTATTATACCTTTCGAGTCTTATCACTACTTACGGAACCTTTAACTATTCAGCTAAAAGAAACACTATACTTAAGGCTTTTAAGCTTTTCGAAAAGATTAAACGATAAGATGTCGAGCATTTCATTTGACTTAAACGAGCTATTATACGCAAAGCTAAATAGTAAGATCACGGCTCGAGCGATAGTAAAAGACTTCTTAAACGCGAAGTATAAAAGGCTGAAGGATTACGACTTATAAAGCTTATTCCGGCATGCTTTCTTACGCTAAGATTAAACGAGTTTTATAATAACGAGAGATAATACAGGACGAAGCCTTAAGTTTGCTACTTTTATTAGCTTTAAAGAACACTTGCTGTTTAAAGGCGTATAGTGCTCCTTAAAGCAAAAGGGTTACGCTAATAAGATAGTCAAGCTTTTAAACGACGAGCAGCAGCATTAATAGACTTATAAAGAAATAAAAGAGCAATAAGCAATACTTTTAAGCTTCGATTTTAAATAAACCGCCGAAAACCTTACGGAGGACGACGACGATATTACACTTCAACTACTTTCACTTCTACTTTTACGAAGTTTAAAAAAGAAAGAGAAAGAAGAAGAAGAAGAGATTCGGAGGTTACGCGAGGAATTTGCGAAAGAGAAAAAAGATATAAAGCAAAATATAAAAGTGATAGCAAAGCAAATAGCGGAATTACGAACTTACGTTATACAATTTAACAAAAAGCTACGACGAAGCACTTTAGCGTACTCGTCTTCAATTTATTAATCTTATCAATCGCTACGCAATACGCTAATCATACAAAAAGAGCTAAAATCACTTTAGCAGCTTTAAAACCCTTTTCTTAAGGGCTATAGCCGAATTTTCGATAAGCCAAGACCGAGTAGCAATAAAAATAGTCTTAAGATCATTATCAGACTAAACAACACTCGAAGCTACGAAAGCTATACGCTAAAAGAAGACTTATCAAAACCTAAAAGCATTTTAAGTAAAATCAGCTCTTATTAAAGACAGCGTGCAGATTTCCGTGCTTAACTTTAGCAACTCGAAAAAGAGATCTAGCACTTTCGAACGTACCGACAAGCTCTTTAAATCTTTTAATAAGCTACGTATCGATAAAAAAGATACTAAAGGTATAAGAATCGCTAAGAGCGCGCTTAAAGATACGAATATCATTAAGCTAAAGCTTTAGCCGATGACTCGAATAGCCTTAACGATTTTAACGATAACCGACGAAAAGGAAACGAAGAAGATTAGCAAAAAGATCGAGGCTACGAGTACGGAAGAAGTAGAAATAAGCCTTTTAGACCATTAAAGAGATTCGGAAATAAACCTTTTAAAGACCTCGGATCCGGAAATAAGCTTTTCAAAGACCTTAGAAAAAGACGACTTACTACAAGCAATTATATCGGTAACCTTTTATTAATCCGACCACTAGCTAAGCACGGCACGCTTACGTACAGCATTCTAAGCGCTTTTAACGATAATAAAAACGATTTCCTTAAGCTAAGAGCAGCAGACCCTTACTTAAGAACGAAAGAATTAGCTTTGTTCGCGCGAAGCTTTTTTAAAAAGCTAAAGTATTCAAGACCCGACGATAACTTTAAAACTTAATTAAAGATTTTTGTTAACTAAGCAAGTCGATACGGGTTGACCTTCGACGACTACTTAACGGCGTTCTTAATTATGCTTACGAAAAAAGCTATCACTTTTTATTATAATCATATAATCAAAGCTAAGCTTTTTACGTTTAAAGCGAACGCTATTATTATAAAGAACCACTTCGAAACTAACTACCGGCGGCAAGCAAAATACGACCGCTAAAAAGAAATTTCGTTAGATTTAATTAAAAAGGAAAATCTAAAGACTTCGCTTAACGAGTGCTTTAAAAAGCTCGCTAAAAAGCTTAAAGGTATTTAAAGCTTTTTACGACGAGGTTTGAAAGACGATAAGAGTTTTGCCGACAAGCTATATTCAGCTTGTAAAAACGTGTTAAAGACGACTATTGCGCGGATAAATCCTACTTTTACTTTTACCGCCGCAATTGCTAACATTCGCAAAGCTATTGCGTTTGCAACTAAGACCTCTCGACCTTTCGTTAAGGCTAGAGCTTACGCGAGCTTTAACGAGCCATACGATTACACCTGCTCTCATAACGCTTCAAAAGCTGATTCCGATTTAAACGAAGAATACGAATGCTTTATTCAAGACCGCTAATACTTCGGAAGTAAGAAAGCTGTTAAAGCTATTATTAAAAGTAAGAAAAGGTGTTTTGTTTGCAAGAAGCTAAGTTGCTAAAGCACTAACCACACCCTCGACGAAAGAAAAGCATCCGTCGCTAAGTTCTAAGCCTTTAAAAACGTAAAAAAAGTAACGAGAAGCAAATTCTTTTAATACGTAGCATCGATTAAAAGCTTGCTATTTATATTTACGAAAGAATTCGATCAGTTTATCGCAAGCTTATTAAACGAGCCGCTCGAATCGAGCAGCTACGCTAATATGTCAAAAGGTTTTGTGATTACTTATAGCACTTTTAACGCTAACGAAGTATATAAATAGCTAAAGATTCAAACGGCATTTTACGCTTTTATTAGCTAAATCGAGACTTAAAACGTGCTCGCGAGTAAAGCAGAGATCTATATAGCTTTTAAGTACTCGGAAAACGTCTTCATAAGCTTCATGATTAATAGCGGAGCAACCAATTTCTCTACCGCTAGCTTGCTTTAGCTAAGAGCACTTTAAAAGAAGTACTCCGAAGTTTAATTAGATATATCTTAAGCAAAAGAGAAGTCCGTCAAGTACGAGATCGGCTTTGCTACTTTTATTAAAACAATTACTTTAAATACTCTTTTAAGTCAAGTAGAATTCTACGTTATAAAGAGCGACGTACCTTTTTTATTCTCATTAGCTAACATAGACAAGCATAAAGTGATCTTAAATAACTTGCGGAACGTGCTAGTCTAAAAAAAGAAAGAAATACTAATAATAAAGATGTTTAAGCACGTATAAATACTATTAAGTAAAAAGCACGCTGCTGCTTATTATAGTACCGAGGGCGAAAGCGAGACCGTTTACTGCTACTTTACGGAAAAGCAATTAAGGACTATCTACAAGCGTTTTAACTACCTTTTAGCAAGTCGATTTGCCGCTGTTTTCAAAAAGGCCGGGCACGAATTCAAACGAGATTTGCTTTACAATATCTAAAAGTTTTGCTACTACTGTTAAGTATTCGAACGCTCTTCGAAGAGATTTAATATCAGACTTAAAGATAATACTGACTTTAATAACACGATATACGTCGATGTGATGCACTTTAACGATAAGAACGTATTATACGTCGTCTGCGACTCTACTAATTTTCAAGCCGCTATCTTCTTTAAAAGCATATCCGCATAGCACTTACTTAAAAGATTCAATCGATATTAAGTCAATACTTACGTCGAGCCTTTTATAAACGTAATACACGATCCCGGAACTAACTTTAATTCGGTAACGTTCTAGGGCTACTTTAAAAGTATTAGCAGCACTTTAAAGCAAATGCTTGTAAAAGCTTATTATAGCGTCGAGCTAGTAAAACGCTATTACGTCCTTATGCGACGCGCCTTTAAGATCGTTATAAAAGAGCTATTAAAAGCCTTAAAAGAGGACCGGCTTCAAATGGCTATCAAAGCTATTAACGACACAGCGGGACTTAATGGCTTGGTCTTTACTTTTCTCGTTTTTGGCACTTTACCGAAGTTGACGGAGCAAGATCGACTTGCCGCGTTTACTTAAGAGCGTGCTATAACTATTAACAAAGCTATAAAAGAAGTACGAAAATGCTACGCTGCAAAGCAAGTTAAGGACGCGCTTAAAAAAAAGAATAGCTTAATTACGAAGCATACCTTAAACCTCTTTATTAGTTCACGGGTGCTCGTGTAGCGGGAAAACCAAGGGTAAAAGGGCCTTTTTCAGCTGCTTAGCAGGCAAGGCTATACGTGCATAATAGCATATCCGAGACTTACGGAATTCAAGTCAACTTTAATAAAACTTTATTATTCTAAAATTAAAAAGCTGTTAGAAGAGTTGCAAGTACTTAAGGTAGAAGTAAAAGAAGATCAAAGCGAAAGCGAAAAAGAGCTAGAACCGTTAAATTCGCTTAAACCTTAACATTCGCTTAATCTATTAAAAAGCTCGTTAAGATTAATAAACAACTTCTTTAACCCTCAACTTATCAATTCTTAAAGATCAACAATACTAATAGTCTAGATACTTTACTAGAAGTACGATCTTAGTATCTCGACCGTGCTTGATAAAAAAGAAAGCGATTCTTACGTTTTATTCATTAAGGACTTCGAAGTGTTGATTACCGATAAAGAACGCCGAGATTATAAGCTCTTAGCTAAGCTGCGCGCCGAAAGGATCATCAAAAGCTTTAAGGCACTATTTCAAGAGTCTAAAGCAAAAGAATTAGCTAGATTGATGGCTTAAAGCATCTTTTAAATGATCTCGAGCACCGACTTACGAGCTAAAAGCGTCAAGATCTTCGGATCTAAGTTTATTAACGAGATCAAAGGCAAAAGAACACTTACGCTATACGAGAAGTCTCGTATAATAGTCTAAGCTTTTTAAGATAAAAGCAAGACGAAAGTACTTACCGAGTCACTTACGGTACAACGAGCGGGCTAAAGACTCTATTATGCTTTAGCTCTTTCTTTAATAAAAGATTACGAGTGTCAAGTCTATAGCAAAGATATTACTTAAGCTTATACTCAGTTAAGCACGAAACTTATTCGAATAATCGTCGTACGACCACTTAAAGAGATCACTTATCGATTCCCTTTCGGCACTTTGTTCTTTATGACTAGCTTTTTATATAAGATCCTCGAAGCAAGAACGCATTAATATAAGCGTTTTTTAAAGCATTTCACGGACAACTTCGAGATAAAGCAATCGAGCTTTAATTCTTGCTTTTTTATGTCAACTAATAAAGATCAGTTAAGAATAGCTGCTTTACAGACGGATGATGTTCTTATAGTTGTTAATCTAGCTATAAAAGCAAAAGAAAAGAAAGAGCTGGTTAAATCTAAGCTAAAGAGCAAAGAAATAAAGATCTTCACACACGCCGAACCGATGATTTTCAATAAGTGCAAGCTATCTAGGCTGCTCTATGGGGTGGGGGCCCCATGGGGTTTTCCTCCCCATTCCCCTCATAAGGTCTTGGCCGATGAAGGACTTTTTTTTTTAAACCTTATAAAGAGGATTTTTTTAAGTCAAATTCCTTACGAAAGATAAGAAAACCCTATAGGTTTAAAGTAGGACAGCTAAAAATAATATATATAAGGCCGTTAAAAATAAAACAAATTTACGAATATTTATTAATTTTACTTAATCATTATATTTATTTATTATATTTATTAATCATATATGTTATACTTTACAATTACATTGCATTACATTACAATAAACTAAAATTATTAAACAAAACTTCTAGTCATGATTTCCCGCAATTTCTTAATTAACGCTATATCTTTGTTTTGAATCGTTACTCGTTTAGCGTGAATAGCATATAAGTTCGTTATTAAAAGTAATTAGTAAATCGATTAATAAATCGATTAGTAAATCGATTAGTAAATAAATATATAAATACTTACTTTCAAACTCTTTTACGAAAAATGCCTTTGAAGCTTCTTATAAACATTCTAAAGCACCGCTTTAAAATTTAAAGTCTTATTTAAAATCGTAAGTGATCTTTCGAACAAGACGCTAAAAAGGAGTCTTTTTAATAAGAAGCTCGGTGCTTTTTTAATATCGTCGGATCTCTTTTAACGCAATAGCTATATAAATTAGTAATTGTACTTAAGAATCAATTTATTAATTGATTAAACTTACTTCTTAGTTTATAGCGACGGCGCTTTCGTTAGCTTAGACCTCTTTTTTTCGCAACAACTATAGACTTCTTAAGATACTTGCTTTTTTTAGATTTTTAACGAAAAGAAGTTTTAACTGCCGAAGGTGATTTGCTAGCTAATAAAACGGAGCGAACAGCTTTAGCCGTCGAAAGTGATTTTTTAGCTCTTTTATATTAAGAAAGAAGAATATCATTTTCACTTAAGTTTTCTTTATTATCGCTTTGCTCTTCTTTATCTGTATCACTATAAAGCATCGTCCTCGTCGCGGTTTTTATAGCTATAATTAAGCTCGAGACAATAAAAGACCTTTTAAGAGCTTTTTGCGCGAAAGCTTTTTTAATACGATTGCTAATAAAAGCAAAAAAAGGTTTAGCAGCTGCAAAAGAATTGTTTCTAGCACTTAAGTCGTAAAACGGATCTTCGTTTTAAAGCTGAGCTAATGCACTCGCTTAGCTCGTCGATTGTTGTATTGCTTTTAAAACAATTTTAAAACAATTAGCGAACGAAAGAAAAAGGTTTAAAAAAATTAAACTTATTAAAAGCTGTTAATACTTATGCTAGTATTGTTAAGAACGATGCTTTTATTCATTTCGGATTGAATAGCCGAAGTAAATTTAATTGCGTTTACTAAAAAAAAATTTAATTAATAAATATTTACTAATTATAAGTCAAAAACATTACCGAATCGAGGTTTAAGAGATGATAAATGCTAGTTTGTATTTGCGCGAGAGTTTATTAGTGTTTAAAAAGCGTCACTTAAAATAATAGAAATTAGCAATTATTAATTAATAAAATAATTAATACTTATTAGCTTAACCTTAAGAAATTCGGCGAGAAAAGGACGGAGATAAATCGGTTCTTTATTATAGACTTGCAATACCGCGCGAGGTTTTAAGAATTTCTATAAATGCTTATCAGCTATTTGCAATTGATTTACTAATCAATTTACTAATCAAATATTAACCGAATAGCTATCGAGTTATAATAGCGCAGCGCTTAGCAAAAGTGAGGTTAAGAATTTCTGTAAATGCTTGTCAGCTATTTGCAATTGATTTACTAATCAATTTACTAATTAAATACTAACCGGATAGCTATCGAGTTGTAATAGCGCAGCGCTTAACAAAAGTAAAGTCTAGCGCATCCGTAACTAATTAAGCTTTACTAAACTAAAGATAAAGATTTGCGTTAAGCAAAGTAATTGAAAAAGTATTAATAGTACTTCGATTAATTAAATATAAACTTATTTTGTTCACTTTACAAATTTAAGTTTTCTTCTTTTACGCTTTCGCCGCGTATTATATCTGCTTTACCTTCTTATGCTTCGTCTTTATCTGCTTAACCCTTAGCCGCCTAACCTTCAGCCGCTTAACCTTTAGCCGCTTAACCTTTAGCCGCTTGACCTTTAATCGCTTGATTCTTAATTGCTTTATCAATTAACTTATCTTAGCTTGCGTTATCTCTTTTAGCCGTAATGCTTAGTATATCGGTAAAAAGAGATCGGTCCGAAAGCAAAAGTTCGTTTAATAAAAAAGCTATTTAAAAGTATTAATAAAAAAACTTGATCGCGATAATTTAATTTACGATTAATAAATTGATAATTTTAAATAAGAAAAAGACGACCTTACAAAGCAATAAATAGCGTTGTATTCAAAAGCGTAGCAAATAAGAAAGCGATAGTTGTAATTGATTATTAAGTAATAATAAAAAAGAATCAGACTTTACTTTATAAAGTAAAAATTGCGCGAAGCGGCCGCTTTATCTTAGCTGCGGCCGCCTTATCTTAGCTACGGCTGCTTTATTATTTCGTGAATTCATTAGCAGCCGCGCTAAGATGTTTTAAAAATAAAATATAAAAGTTCACTTTTAATCTTAACACTTTTATTTTATTACTTTTGATTTTACTTTAAATAATTACTTTTAACGTTTAGCTTCTTTATAATACTATTTAATATAGCCGCTTATCAGCTTGATTCGATAAAAGGTATTATTGCAAATATAGATCAGCTTGATTTAATAAAAAAGATTGAAAAATCTATAATAAAAATCATTTTCTTATTTATTAATCTATTTACTAATTAAAAACGTCTTTTTTAAAATGCGGCCGATACGACGGCAATCGTAGCGGCAAGCAATCCGGTGCTAAAAAACCTTAGTAAGCGCAAAGTAAGTATCTTTTTTACGTAGTATTTTTATTTTTATTAATTTATTAATTTTTCTTAAAAAAGAAGGCTAAAAAGAGGCTAATTATCAACCAATTCTTATACGATAAAAGCCAATGCTCGTACAGCAAAGCTGAAACAAGATCTTTAAGCAGATAAGCTTCGAAAAGCTAAAAGACGAGATCAAGCGGCCGCTAATTAGCTTTTTGCAATTTAAAAACAAACCTTAGAATATTCTTAAGCATTAAAAGCTAAAAAGAAAACTCGATAAGCCGAAATGCGAAAGAATCTTATAGATAAACGGTACTTTTTCTTTTCTTTGATTTACTAAGCAATTTACTAATCGATTTTAAAAAGAATCGAAGCATCTACGCAAATAATCTTGCTATGCAAGCCGCTTCTTTTACAATTAGATTCAATAATAGAAAATACTTAAATAACGATTAAGTTGATAAAGCATTTAATTTAAACGAAAAAGTTTATAAAGAATTTAATTTGCGAAAAGACGAAAAAGAAAATAATGATATACTTTGCGATAGATACGTCTCGATTACCGATAAAAAGATAAAAAAAGTCACTCGGCAATTAACACGTTAACACGCATAAGTAAGTATTTATTTCATTTAAATATTTATATTTTGCTAATAATATAAAGTTACGCTATATGATAACCGTTTAGCAATTTCGTCGCTATTAGCAAAGTGTAGCGCGGTCTTTAACAAAA